AATGGAGCAAAAATAAAATAGGAACGTACCGGAAGAACAAAAATTAACGTTATCTTTAGAAGATAGATTTTCGTACGGCATTCCGTGTGTGCGGGTTGCCCGCACACGCAAGTCGCGCTTTTTGTTCTTCGGTTTCGGGATTTGATTCGCACCCCCCCTGCGCGCGTGAGAGAGCCTTTATAAAGGGTTCAAATTCCCGTGTGATTTTCGGTGTGGGAAAAACCCACACTAAAACCCACATTTTCCTAGTTTTCTCCATTCCAACGGGTAAACTTCGAAAAACGATTTCTCATTCACCTGTTATCCGTTTTGAGCGTACCATATATCGAATTGTAGTCCTAAGCAAGGAAAACCCGAAACCACTTTGAACTGACCCAAATCGGAAGTGGACCCCACTAAAAAAATTGCCCAAAAATGACCATTTAATGCAATTTTAACACACTTTTTCCAACATGGACGTTTTCCAAAACGAATATGGGCCCACGGGCCGGCTACTTGAATTTATATATAAAGTAAGCATATTTTCGAACAGGGTAACTAAGGTTTACGGACTATAATATAATATCACCCTAGATTATATACAGTGTAGTTGTCATTGTACTTTTCAAATGCTTCAAAGTACTGACATCCCCTTCACAGGGGAGGCCACCTCACAATTTCAGGTAGGAGTTGAAGCTTGCTACCATCGCCCGTTGCTTCGGGGAGATCAAGGAGAGAAGGCGTGGTTCGTGTTTCCTCTATTTCTGTTTTAAAAACAATTACATTAATGCTCATGGATATTATTTTCCGAATAATTATTTGGGGGCTTGTATGCCCAAGTTTGCCAAGTGTGGCTTGAACACTTGTATTAATGATTCCGCTGCTTTAAATGAATAGTTTACATTATGCTTGTTTATGGATGTACTACGTGTGAACGATATTCCAGACGCCTCGTATAGTATGGATGTGTCGGACTGCGGTTGACTATTCGTACTATACGGCGGATTGTTGACGTGTCCGGGTAGGTCCGGGGCGTGACTTAATAAATATAAACACTACAGATTTGTAAAAGTAAAAAAATCAAAATTTTAAAAGTTTTTTTAAAAAACAAGTTCAAAAGATAAAGAACAATACACTTGAGTGTAATAAAAAAACGAAAAAGATGATCTCTGTAATGATTCTTTTTTTATTTGTTTTGTTTATTTGATTGGATAGGACTTACCTTGATAAGGCTTTCACGGTGGGGAGGCTTATTACTTAAACTAATCCACATATTCTTCGAATGGATCTCTTAGTTGTTGAGGAGGTTGTCCAAAAGCAATACATGTTTTAAAAACTTTTAATTTACCATAAAACAATATTTTGGGTCGGATGGGATATTAGCGTTTTACTCAAAACGACCCCTTTATTTGAAAAGCTTTCCGATATAGCATTTAAAAAACAAACTTCTAGTATTTCATTTATTTCGACAGAACTTCATTTGTTACAAGAAGAGATGATGTGGTTGTCATGAAAAGTGATTTGATATAATTGATAAAGTGAGACTAAAATAAGAATGGTTTAGATGATACATATATAATCAAATTTGGTATGTGACAATTTTAGAGGGGCAGACCAAAAAGGAAAGATGAAACAATCTTAGCGAGATGAGGGGTATGTTTTACATTGATGAGCTAACTCAGAAGAATATCTATTGATGGCGGGTTAGAAACCTAAATTCAAGTGCTCCAATATTATTCACTTTATTGTTTTGAAAAGGAGGGATTTGACTTTGCACCTCACTTTTTAAATGATATTAGACTTCGCATCCCATTTTAAAAAACCTTTGATTTTTCACCCCAGCACATAACATTTTATGAAGAACAATTATTGAATGAGTTCCAAAGTCAAAGGATTTTTAAGTGGAATGGGGTGCAAAGTCAAAGTTTTTTGAAAATAGGGTGCAAAATCCAATATAACCAAAAAATGAGGTGCAAAGTCAAATTTCCCCTTTTTAAAAGAACAATAATGTACATGAACCATGATGCTCCTAGTCTGCTCAACAACAATGAACCACTAAAGTCAAGTAGAAACCTAGATATCCTTCAACACGATCAAATCCCAAACAGCTATAGCAGTAGAACTAAACTCGTTGAAGAAAACTCTCAACATCAAATAATTGAAAGCATTCATCAAGGTGTGAGAACAAAGGATCCTATTTAAAGAGAATTCATAGTCTCGTGTTTCATATCCCATATTCAATTGATAAAGATTGAAAGAAGCCAAATTTGGGAGCTTGAACCTAGAGCACATCACCAACATATGATATCCCATATTCAATCAAAAAAGACATATTATATCCCATATTCAGGAAAAAAACACGGATGAAAAAAGAATCATTGTTAGAAATAAAGTCAAACATGTGGAGAATGGGTACTTCCCACAAGAAGGAATATATTTTCAAGAATCTTTTCTCTAGTCACAAGACTTGAAGCAATCAAGGCATTCCTTGTTTATTTCACAAAATATCACTTCGCTCTCCATCAAAAGGATGTGAAAAGTGTATTACCAAATAGTCTACTAGAACATGAGGTACATGTGTAATAGCCTCCTAGTTTTGAACTCAAGAATGAAGCTCTATATGGACTCAAGTAGACACTTAGAGCATGGTATGACACTTTATCTCTATACTCATAAAATATTGTTTTCACTAAAGAAGAAAAAGGAAAAAAAACTAAGTCAAACTTCAAGAAGACTCTAATGACATTTGGAAGAACCCAAATGCAAACTTCAACATCATGCGAGACTCAACTGCAAAACTAATGTGATGAACCAATATGTGATGATTTTTTAATCTTCATGCATAACAAATTTGAAGCAATGCGTGATAATTTCTCAGTCCTCAATGTAGACTTGTCACCTAAGTTCTCAATATGTGAAGCACCCAAATGTACTTTTAGTGTCATAGTTCAACAAGAAGCAATATGTGATAATTTCTCAGTCCTTATGCAAAACAAATTTGAAATCAACATCATGCGAGACTCAGCTGCATGTTGGAGTTATAAGTAAAGTAGACTTCTCAAATAATCTTCATCAACCAAGCCAAATATCCTAGAAATATGATGAAGAAAATTAGGATGGAAGGAAAAATTGTGTGAAGATACCAACCAACACATTCTAAGGTTTTTAAATCAAGACGAAGATTGAAAAGATATTGATCCAACAATTTTTAGAGGGCTAAAGGGTCAAATAGGCCCCTGAACCCGCACAAATTGCTCAATTCACACCCCAAACAAAAAAAAAGCTCCGATCTCACCCATGAACCCTATAAAATTGGTCGATCCTTCCTTTCACCCGGTTGCCTCCCTGTTTCTCCTCTTCATTGCCTAGTCAGCAAGTCAGTTGGCCTAATTAAAATAATTAGTCCCACCCAAAGTTGTATACGTGTAAACAACGGTTTAGGCTTCAGACGACGTCACATTTAAACATACAAAATACCCTAATTCGAGATTTGAACGCGGAAATTTGCAGAAGCACAACCAAAGTTGTCAGCTGAGCGTGAAGAGGAAGAAGAGGTGCCATATTGTAGTTGCCCTGAATTCGTTCAGGTAAATGAATTGACTGATGTTATCCATTGACGTTTGTTTGCGTAACAGTGTTTTAACTTCGTATTTGTAAAGTAGTGTTGAGAACTAAAATTCGCTGCTATCAGAGTTCGGTTTTCATTACGTGTTTGCTTTGCTTATAGTGTGTGACAGTGTTTGGTACGAGAAGTGTTTTACTTGTATTATATGTAGTGGTTTGCTTATTGTGTAATGCCCCTTGTATAATTGCTTGCTTTTTATAGGATGTGGGAAACTTTGGACTTAATTCTACACTACGGTGGCACCCCGCAAACATGTTCTCCTATGAAGTATACTGATGGAAGGATAGAGATTATTAAAAGTGACCCTGATGTAGTGAGCTATCTGCATCTCAAAAAATTTATAGAATCTGGTCCATTTGGTGCGTTTGGGAAGCTGATGTATAAACTGCCTGATGAACCACTGGAAGTTTTAAGGGAGTTGGTTGATGATGCATCCACATTGGCTTTGGTCAGACTTTCTATACATTGTGGAATGTGTGAATTGTATTTGCTACAACCCTCCACTTCTGTTGTAGTCGGTGGTGATGTTAGATTAGGTGAATTGGAGGTTCATTCTCAAGAAGGAGGGCTTCAAAACTGTGAAGTATAATTCCAGTCATCTGCTGCTCATGCTGTTAGGACCAATGGCAGACTGAAGTTAAAACAAAGAAGAAAGACAGTAGCCAAGAAAGTTTCACACGAAGAATTGGGTGAAAATGAACTGCATGATGTGGAAATTGAGACACCTGCAATGGAAGGTGATGATGAACAAGATTTGGGGAGTCAAGAAGACCTTCAAATGTCTGACATAGGTTCACATTCTGAGAAAGATGAAGGTTTGGGAAGTATGCAGCACAAACCTGATGATCCTACATGTTTGGAGGAGGGGATGATGACTATGAAGATAGCATGGACTTGTATCCTTCTGATGATCCTCCAAGTTATATTTCAGAAACCAATGCTAATGTGGAAGATGAAGTTCAATCCAAGGACAACAATTATCATCTTCTTTCATACAATCCACAAATAGAACCTCCTAACATTGAGGTAGCGATGCTTTTTTAGGACAACATTCAGTTTAAGACTGCCCTAATTAGGTATGCTGTGTACCAGAAGAAAAGCATCTGCTTCAAGAGGAATGAATCTCATAGAGTCGGGGCAAAATGCATTCAAGAAAACTGCCCCTTCTCATGTTATGCTAGCTGGGAAGACAGGTTCAAATGCTTCCAAGTTAAAAGCATGAACACCACACACATGTGCAATTCCAAGTTCAAGTTAAGAGTTGTGAGTCAAAAATGGATAGAAGAAAAGTATGAAGACAAGGTTAGAGATGAGTCTTGTATTGGCTATGTCGCATTGAAGGAGCACATTGAGACTGATTTGGGCATCCATGTATCAATTAGCATGGTCAGGAGGGCTGTAAGATGCATTAAGAAGAGAATAAATGCTAGCTTTGAAGAACAATTCAACCGGCTCAGAGACTACAGTCAAGAGTTGCTAAATTCAATACCTAACACAACCATAAAGATCATGACCTCAAGAGTTGTTGATGATGGCCCCTGTATGTTTCGGAGAATTTATGTCTATTTTGGTGGAATGAAAAATGGTTTTTTAGAGGGGTGCAGGAAAATAGTAGGGTTAGATGGGTGCTTCTTGAAAGGACTACTGAAGGGGGAAATACTTACTGCTGTTGGAAGGGATGCTAACAACATGTATCCAATTGTGTGGGCCATAGTTGAGATTGAAAATACTTCTTCTTGGTCTTGGTTTTTGGAGTTGTTGATGCAAGATCTGGATATTGTTGATAGCAAACCCTGGACTTTCATAAGTGACCAACAAAAGGTAAATTAGCACTTATGAATTAAACACTTAAGTTGCATCTATGTGAAGTTACTGAAATTGTGCAATTTATACTTTCATTGACTAACTACTTCATTAACTGACCTACTACATATTGAGTAATAGTTTCAGTAAGTTGCCTGATTGAGTAACTAATTAATTGCCTGATTCTCTAACTAACCTTTTTTAACTTACATACACTTACTCTCTTCATGGAGGTCACAATATTTAGGTACTGTGACCTTTTTTTAACTCTATTGTTTCACTCAAACTGGTCACAGTAACTAAGCTTTTTGACATTGCAACAATAGCATGTTGACATGGTATTCCAGTAAACAAGTTATATTCACCTTACAATTCATTTTCAATTCTCTCCTAAGATTATATTCTTATATGATCTTTACTCTAACATTATCCTCACTATTATTTACTACCCGTGTTGTAATTATCATCAAGAGTTGTATTACATATCACTTTATCTCCTAGAGAACTATATCTATATAATATATATGATGTACATCTCACAATAATGTAAAATGAAAATACGTTCACGTAATTTAACTCTTCACATTGCACCAATCTAGTATGCAAGGACGCGGCCACAATGCAGACTAAACACAAAGGCTACAACCACTTAATAAAAGTGCATATATTGTATTGTCCATATCAGGGAATATTCAACAAGTGATCTTGTCAAGGACACATCGCAGAAGTATGAAAAAATGCAGCTCCCTAGCCGATTACAACTTGGAGTCCATATGTCAATCACTGCAGTCTAAAAATCTTGAATCAATCCCTCAGCTGTTGTAGGAACTAATAAAAAACATTACTAGTCACAGCTAATATTATTATTCTAAGATAGAAATGATGATTCGCTCAGGTGGCAGTTCTTTGCCGCAATTCTTATCTATAACCCCAACTTCGCCTCAGCCTTCTTGATTTGATCAAGGAATATCCACGTCATCTGAAAATAGAAGTGTTTCCCTCAGGAAAATGTAGCAGAAAAAACAAAGAACAAGTAATTGGATCATTGGATGATAGGGTAAACATACCATGACATGAGGAGCTATTCTTACACAATATACCGGGAATCCTGTGTAAAATTTGAAAGGCCCACCAGCCTTGAGTGTTTTCAAAGTACAATCAAAAGATCCGGTGTAGGGGTATTTCCCTGACGAGTCTGGTTGCATCTTTTGGATTTGTGTTTTTACATAATCAAAGGGTAAGCTGCAAGCTGCTGCAAAGAACCCCGAAACCGCACTAGCTCCTGCATATAAAAACAGCAAGCAATCTTATAGTTTTGAAAACTGCTACCTAATGGCTATATCTATGATGCGATGTGGTTGGTTCGCTTTTATAATACATAAAAAAGTACTTACAACTTTAATGGCGTCAAAATCAAGGTTCTTTCTCATTCATTTTGGTATGATAACAAAATAAAACAGCTTTCAATTATCTACACCTAAGAGGAAATCCCGAAATTCTATGTTTCATGTTCAATTTTGAATAAACAATTCTTCATTGACTTTGTTGTTTTAATTGCAAAATGTAAATATATCATGATTTGCACACATGGCACATAGACATTTAGAGATCCATTGATTTGAAAGTGTGCAGTAAAGTTAAGGCAGTTAGGTAAATTTTAAAAAGGTGGTAACATTTGCTCTTTGACTACTGCTTCTTTATAAAGGAGCAAATTATTTGAATTTTGGAATTACATAAAAACAGGATTTGAGGATGATGTACCAACATGGCACAATGTGTATGCATTGCAGCAAGAAGCCAAGAGTAAGAATCACCGCCTGACCCCAATTTGGATTAAGATCTTTGGAGAAGTAGGTCTTGGAGGGTTATTAAGAGGAGCCTTAGTGCACCGATTAAGGTGTTGACCGAGGAGTCACGGGTTCAAGTAGTGGGAGCAGCCTCTAGTCAAAAAGTGACAGGGGAAGGATTGCTCCTTATACACCCTTGTGGTGAGACCCTTTCCTGTACCCTCACCTTGCGAGGATGCTTTCACGCACCAGGCTGTCTTTTTTTTTAGGTCTTGGAGGGTTATGTCTACACCTTGACATATATTATGAAGATATTATAAGATCTTAGGAATGGCATAATAGGTGATCATATCACATTTATTCACCATATATTCACTTTTAGAAACATTACACTTATCGCCAAATGTAATCCTAAGTGGTCTTTGGCAGCCTTCATATTCTTACCACTTCCCATCTAATGTACTTAAATCATGCCAAATAGGCCCCAATCTGCCACCTAGCACATGCACAGGTCTTTTCACAACAATGTGTATGTTCAAAAGTTATCATACCTATCACAGTGGGAACCTCATTCAAGCCCATAGAACCTTTAAGGAACTCTGCAGTTTGATCATAAGAAGCAAGCATCCCCATGTTCAATGCCATTGCCCTCACTACAGTTGGCCCAGCGCCCTTCCAAAGAGCTAAGAAACCTTCATCGCCAACAATGCGATAAAGTGCATGGAAGGCGTTCGTGTAGTTCCGGCGTTGGGCAGCAGGTAAGGTGGCATCGGCCTGCATACGGATGAGTGCCAGATCAGCAGGACTCCCCACACATGCTCCTATTGCTCCTGCAGTTAGCCCACACAATGCCTTCTGATATAGAGGTAAAGGTTTCCCCGCATTCGCCTCCACAGCCTTCTCTGTCAAGAGTCTATTGTGGATAACAACCAAATAAGTCTTTGAATAGAATTATTTATTGCTCTAGCTTCCAAACACAAAGCAATGAGAACCGTGTTCCAAATAATGACGATACTCTTGTTGCTTACTTTAGCATATGAAAAAGATTTGTAAATTATTCTGCAGTTCTAGAATAATACCCCAATTTAGCTGGGTAAAGTTTTTCATGTATTTGACTTTACCTTGGAAATGAAAACTGATCTGTTTTTATTTTGTATACATGCATTTAGATTTCTTAGTCTTTAAATAATATGAATAAATATATAAAATGTGTGTACATTTTTTTCTCTCTAGTATTTTCCATGTTCCAAACAGACCCTTAAAGATTAAAGAGAAGATGGTATACCAATGACAAAGCCACTCCTTAAAAATTTCTACAGGTGCAGTGTTACTCAAGTTGAAAATTGAAATAGTAGAGTAGTAGAGTGTGGCACATACAATTAGATAATGGAAGTATCTTCATCATTCCCAAAGTCGGACCAAACTACACCATGATTTTACAAAAAGAATATATATTCTTTGTTGCGCACAGTAAAAGCCAACAAAAAAACAGACCAACAATTACTTTTGGTTGAATCTTTTGGTAAAGAGCGATAAACAGTATAAGAGACTGGAATCTTTTGGTTGCGGGAGTGAACATTTTTGGTGATAAAAGCTCTTAATTGATAGTTTGATACGATTTTTGGCTTTCCAGGTCAATGCACCAGTAATTGAAAAAGGGTGACAACAGCCAAGAGTTTAGAGTCAACTAACATTAATCAATATATGATATCAGAGCTAAAGACATTAGATAGAGATAGAGGAAGTAAAAAAAATATAACCTATCCTTTACACATATGCTCTCTCCACTTCCCCCTCTCCATAGTCATACTCTTATCTAACCACATAGTATGATATCATTCTTGATTACTCTAATTCACGTCTGTCTAGGTTGTCTCCTTCCTCCTCCTCGCCCCACCTATCATTCTTTTGCCTCATTAGGTCTCCTCCACTATGCCAACTTCTACAACAACAACAACATTACCCCAGTGCCACAAAGGCTCCCACCTACGGTGGAGTAAGGGGGAGTCGGATGCACACAACCTTACCCCTTACTAAAGCACAAAGAGATTGTTTTTGGATGACTCGTGATGAAAATCGCGTAAAAAATTGCATGGACTGACCGCTCCTTCACAGACAATTTAGTGAGTCATTTTGCTTTATTCCATCATATTCCCAGGCGAAAAACTAGTAAGTCTTTGGCTTCATTGGAAATGATGGAAATACTACGACAACTTCTAATGAATACAAAAAGTCACCTGAATGTTCCAAGCCGGGCGGTTGTATACGTAGCTTGCCTAAGAAGTCCAGCAGACAAACCCTGTTTGACATGACGAATACAATTGATGTTACAAGTAGACTATACTAACACAAACACATAAAAGATGGCCGAGGTGGCAATCAGAAAAACATATGCACACACAGACAATGAAATCCATTGAGCCTACATAATCAGTCACAATGATGTAATAAGATCTATGTAGAACCAAGTGGACTTAAGCATATAAAAAACCATAGGCATCCAAGGCATAATATGTATTTATATGCAGGTGAGATTTTTTACTAATTGAAGGAATGTGTTAATAGGTGAATATATAGCACATTTCAATCGCATCTTATTCATTTTTCACAAACATTTTGTATCATGATATTGGCTGCGCCCTCCAAAGTCATCCCTTCCAAAACACTCCATCCCAACTAACCCTTAGGCGTCCAAGGAGAGCTAAAATATTATTGGGATCACTATAACAGACTAACTAGCAAATCTCAAGCAGATGACTAAGATGGGTATCTATTGATATCCAACAAGTAAATGTTGAACTGACTTTGACTATAGATCAAATCAATAGCTAGATCTAACAAACACTTAAGCTTTTGAGTTAGTGAAACACAGGTAGGTACAAACCTTGTAAAAAGCACCAAACCCTTCGTTTCTGAGCATATTCTTGGTAACATCGGCTGCAGATCCTTGACCCAGTTGAATTCTTACCTAACATTGTAAAGGAAACCAAAGCTAGTATTATTGAACGATTCATTTTGAAGCAGTAGTTATTGCAGATCCAAACAAAAATGTTTAAATCCAGACAGAGTCCAGGCAAGATCTAAGCTTTATGAAGTTCCAATGCAAGAAAAGCTGAGCAAATACAAGCCAGATGGATTAAAACACAATTCAGATCTCTCTACAAAACCAATTCATGTAGAAAAAGAAGAACCCGTAGGATCCAACAAAAATTGAGGTTGGCAAGTCCGCTAAGCTAACACTTTTAATATAAAAGAAAATGGGAAACAGCAGGAAGGCGATCTTTTAGAGAAATCTTACTTGGATTAAGAAAACTATATACCTTGATCATGTCGATAGGCTGCACGACACAGGTTGCAAGCATACCGGAGCACCCTCCATTGACGAAAGGCTTGACAGTTGGCCAGACACCACCAGCGGGCTTGGACTTCTCTCCCATTTTCTTTTTGAGATTAGTAAGATGAAAGATAGGAGAAGAGAGAATGAACAAGCTCGCGGATTTGTAGGAGACGAAGCAAGGTCGAGGGCCAACTTATATATATACACATAACACACTGAGCTGTGCTTTGAGGCAGGCGGGTAGCAGCTGGATAGGGCGAAGCGCATGCTCACTTTTATTGGACATTTTTTTTATTTTTTATTGAGAATATTACTTCAAATAGGATTAAAAAGATTGAAAATTTTAAAATAGGATTGTTATGTTTTTATTCCTAAAATAGGACTAATTACTGTCATGTTTTTGCAGTACCAAACTTCAAACATGACAGTATTTTCCAAACTTGGCAATATTTATTCCTATTTTGGAAATAAAAAACCTGACAATCCTATTTTTGAATTTTCAAACTGTTTTAGTCCTATTTCGAGAACTTTCCCTTTTTATTTTCTGACACAATAGGAGAAAGTTATTGCACAAAAAGAATTTAATTATTTCAAAAAAAATCTTTATTTTATTAACAAAATATGTTTTAATTTTTTCCTAAAGCAACTTGTTCAATCACTTCGGTCATTTCAGTCATAATTTGATTTATTTTATCAGAATCTGCCCAATCAACTACTTAACAACTCTAAGTTGGAAAATGCGCTGTGTACACACCCGGTTACACACCGGTGTACACAGCACAAAAAGCCTCACCCCCTCTTTTCCATCCGTATTAACCCCTCCCCTCCCTCTTTCCTTTCTCTTCTTTCTTCCTCTCCCTCTCTGCGCCCAACTTATTCCTTCTCCCTCTTTCCTTTCTTTTCTTTCTTCCTCTCCCTCCCAGGCCCGGCCCAACCCATGTGCAAGTGGTGCAACTGCACAGGGCCCCATTTTCAGGAGGGCCTCCAATTTTTATTGTCATAGTGTTAAGACTAGGCCCAGTAGGGAAAAAATTGTCCAAGCAGCCAACCCAATAGAAGCCCGCTGCTGACTAGCGACGCGCTTCATGATTCATATACACGGTAAATTTCCTTCGGTCATCGGTCGACAATTTCCTAGGATACTTAAACGACTAAGAGAGAATCGAAACAATTTTCGAGGAGACTATGGAGTAGGAACGGTGTTAACCTTAATTTTTATAGTTAGGGCTTTAATGCTAAATATAATTGAACAATCTGCTTCAAACAACACCGCCATATATCCCAATATTCCGATTTGTTCAGTTCTTCTTCCCACTGACCTTATTTCTTTAATCTTCGTTTTGATTTACTGAATTCTTTCGGACTTCAGAGTAATTGATGAAACATGGAATACGATTTGTGACGCCTAGAATCTTGATTCCCTTGAAACCAGCCACTAAGAAGGGCGGTCGCCTCCTCCTCGGGCAGGAGAGGCTGGAGAGGCTAAGACGTCAAGGCTCAAGCAGTGAAGTGGTGAGCCGGCACAGACCCGTAGAGCAGCAGGGGTGAAGGGGAATCTTTTTTCGGGTGTTTTTGTCAATTCTACTTTTGGATTCTGAATATTTTACACATAGTAAATTGTAATGCATTATGGATTTATGGTCTTAGAAAATTTGAATACGGACATGAATAGGATGTAAAATACGTAGCATTAATGTATAATTATTAGCCTTACAAGTTTTGTAGGGAGCATTATTTGTAGTACTGTATATTGTATATGTTAGGGCCTTCTATTTTTTTTCTGAACAGGGCCTTCATTTCGTCCGGGCCGGGCCTGCTCCCTCCCTGCACCCAACTTCCTCTTCTCCCTCTTTCCTCTTTTCATTTTTCTTTTCTCTCCCTCCCTGCACCCAACATTCTCCAACCCCTTTTCCTCTTCCCTTATCCCTCGTAAATAACTCCTCTCTTTCTCCATCTTTTTTCTTTTCTTTATCTCACTTTTCTTTTTTCTTTTTTTTTGCAGATCTGAATCTAAAAATAGGAGGAATCACAACTTGAATCTACTTTGCTCTCTCAAATATTATTCATGAGGTAATACTTTATTTCATATTTTTTGTGCATTTATTGTATACATGTTCCCTTTTTAATTTTGTATATCTTATATGTTGTGATGATATGTTGTTATGATGTTGAATACTACTACTTATTACACTGTTATACTAAATAGATTTGGCATGTTTATCATTTAAAATTTTTGTCTGTATCGCAGACAAAATATAAAAATTTGTCTGTTAAATCGATTTTTACAGACAAAATATAAAGATTTGTCTGTATCGCAGACATTTTAGATCGGAATTTTTCATAAAGTGTCTGTGATACAGACAATTTTTTTTTTGTATGTGTGAAAATCGTTTTTCTTCATAAACCGCCACTCAATTTGCCTGTGTAGTCGGTCAAATTGTCTGTGTACAGACAATTATGTGAGTGCATCTTGTAAAGTACTAGTAGCTTGTGTATGTCTTCTCTATAACTTCTTTATTAATGGGGTTTGAATATACCGTAGTACTTGGTTATTGTCAAGTTAATGTATCATTTAAATTAAATATATTTTAACTAAAGGAGCTTTAACCATGTCACTGCTTCAGGGACATCTTCTACCTCTTTGTGACCAATACTAGTATCTTGAAGGCTTGTGATTGAAAACTATGTCTCTTTTTCAATCGGGAGCAAGGCATGTGTTATTTCAAATCGTGGCATGAGAAGGATTCAGAAGGTCAAGAATGAGAGATTTAAAGTAAATTATAATTACATACTTCATTTTTGTAATTAGTTGTTTGTATTTGTTTTGATATTTAATTGTTTGTCATTTGTTTATTAGTTGTCTGTATTTGTTTTGAGTTGTCTGTCATGTTATTTTGAGGTGTCTGTAAGAGTCGGAAAGTTGTTTGTAAGTCATATTTAGTTGTTTGTCATTTCATTGTAAGTTGTATGTAATTTGTGGGTTGTCTATTGTCTGTCTAGTTATTATACATATTGTCTGTCTTTTTAATGAAACATATGACAAAATGGTAATTCACAATAAAGTAATGTATGTATGTGTATACTTATTGTCTATATGTGTACACTTAATGTCTGTCTCATAATACTAATTACATCTAAAAAATAAACATCACAAATTACATACAGACAACTCAAAACAAATACAGACAACTCAAAACAAATAAAAAACAATTAACCATCAATTACAGACAGACAGACAACTTCAAGAGTCTTTATAACAAATACAGACACTGCACTTAAAAGTTTTGTTTCAAGTATTATCTCTAACAAATTGTGTTCGGGGTTTAATAATGCTTTTTTTTTTCAGGGTCCTAGTTTTTTCATTTTTCCAGTAGTGGATTATTATGATACTTTTCTTTCTATTTTTTGTAGGAAGGAAGAAGTAAAGATGAGAAAAAAAAATATTGTCTGTGCCCAGAAATTATAACAATGCATATATTTTTGTGCACACACTTTATTTGTTTCTTAAAGTCTATCGGTTGTGACACTTATCAAAAACTTGTCTACACACAGACAAAACAAGCTTGTATAAAAATTATCTGTATACAAACAATAATGGTCTGAACAATTATCCACACAATATAAACAAACAATTAGTGTTTGTGTACAAACAAAAACTTTATAGAAATTGTCTACACACAGACAAAACAAGCTTGTATAAAAGTTATCTGTATACAAACAATTGGTTAAAACTTATCTTTACAAATACACTTACAAACAAACTATATTTGTCTGTGATCAAAAAGAAAGTTTAAATACACCATCATTTTAATACAAGATAATTAACCGTGCAACATAACTAATTACAAAAAATGAAGTATGTAATTCTCATTTGCTTTAAATCTCTCATTCTTGACTTTCTGAATCCATCTCATGCCACGATTTGAAATATCACATGCCTTGCTCCCGATTGAAAAAGAGACATAGTTTTCAATCACAAGCCTTCAAGATATTAGTATTGGTCACAAAAAGGTAGAAGATGTCCCTGAAGCAATGACATGGTTAAAGCTCCTTTAGTTAAAATATATTTAATTTAAATGATACATTAACTTGACAATAACCAAGTACTACGGTATATTCAAACCCCATTAATAAAGAAGTTATAGAGAAGACATACACAAGCTACTAGTACTTTACAAGATGCACTCACATAATTGTCTGTACACAGACAATTTGACCGACTACACAGGCAAATTGAGTGGCGGTTTATGAAGAAAAACGATTTTCACACATACAAAAAAAAAATTGTCTGTATCACAGACACTTTATGAAAAATTCCGATCTAAAATGTCTGCGATACAGACAAATCTTTATATTTTGTCTGTAAAAATCGATTTAACAGACAAATTTTTATATTTTGTCTGCGATACAGACAAAAATTTTAAATGATAAACATGCCAAATCTATTTAGTATAACAGTGTAATAAGTAGTAGTATTCAACATCATAACAACATATCATCACAACATATAAGATATACAAAATTAAAAAGGGAACATGTATACAATAAATGCACAAAAAATATGAAATAAAGTATTACCTCATGAATAATATTTGAGAGAGCAAAGTAGATTCAAGTTGTGATTCCTCCTATTTTTAGATTCAGATCTGCAAAAAAAAAAGAAAAAAGAAAAGTGAGATAAAGAAAAGAAAAAAGATGGAGAAAGGGAGATAAAGAGAGGAGTTATTTACGAGGGATAAGGGAAGAGGAAAAGGGGCTGGAGAATGTTGGGTGCAGGGAGGGAGAGAAAAGAAAAAAGAAAAGAGGAAAGAGGGAGAAGAGGAAGTTGGGTGCAGGGAGGGAGAGGAAGAAAGAAAAGAAAGGAAAGAGGGAGAAGGAGGAAGTTGGGCGCAGAGAGGGAGAGGAAGAAAGAAAAGAAAGGAAAGAGGGAGGGGAGGGGTTAATACGGATGAAAAAGAGGGAGTGGGGCTTTTTGTGCTGTGTACACTGGTGTGTAACCGGGTGTGTACACAACGCATTTTCCCTCTAAGTTTGTGGTATTTACATGAATGCAATGCAAAAGGATATGAACTTATTATGTCGAATTCAAAATATTTTGGATTTCTGTAATTTTAGAGGTGGTTTTGGCCTCTTATGCCATTTTTCCTCTAATTCTAAAATCCTATAGATAGAAAACTACTTTTGTCGACTCTTATTCTGAATGGACACATAAAGAAGCATCTGCATACAAATCCATTTGTATATAAATTATATACACTAATCTCTGATTTTAATAATACTTCCTTCTTTCCTCAAAACTTTGTCAAAATTGACTCCACGTAGAATAATAAAATAAAAAATGTGTGGTTGATGCATGTGCACGAAAAATTAACAGGAACCACAAATTCTTTGTTTAAAAAAATGACAAAATTAATGGGATAACAAAAAAAAGTTGACAAAGTTATAAGGGATGATGGAGTATGTCAAAGCCTCATATGTTATGATTAATCATGTGCGTAACTCCTTCTAATAACAAATTAATTTCTGAATAAAAGAAAAATGATTAGCATTTTTGAATAATGTAGAGATTTTAACGTGATTACTTGTATTTCAATTATAATATTAAAGAATGTGACTTTCAGTTTGTATATTTAATTGCTAGAGGGGTTTTACACATAATTAATCTTGAGGCGGGGATTTGACACACTTCAAATCACTCAAGGTGAATGTGCAATATTATTAATGACAAGGTGTTCAGTGCATCCAATTCCACTCTTCATTTACAATGAATAAAAACTTAAAGAAGGAATTAAGTTTTCAAGCAATGACACGTTTTTAATATTAGCATTAAGTTTTCAAGCAATGACACGTTTCATCAATATTACTAATATTAACCGACAAAAAAGTGACATTAAAGACTAATTTCCACTAATATGACTAGTTGTTATCGCGTGGGTTTAGAATAAAGTAACTAACTCCCATGTATGAATAACTACAAAAAAGGCTTCCCATGCAAAAATTCCGGAGCATTATATTCAATTGTGGCTTATACGTGCATGGTAGCTCAAAGAGAGAAATTAGCAACTTTTAAGTTTTTTCTGTGATCATCATGAGAAGGGGTATGTAGTAGGGGGGCAAAGAGACGGTCCTAGATTTCATAGTGACTCGACATGCACCGCCGCCGCCCATGAAGTCATTAGAACTCTAGCCACTACTTAGTGACTCACTTCCTTGACATTTAGCGAATCACTTTTCCTACGCTTAGTGACTCACTTTCCGGGTGCCACCCATGACCTCACCGCTTTTTGTGTCACCACATCCTAATGTTTTAGTGTCTCTAATGCTCCGGCGATGCAGTGACTCCACAGCCATTCCCACACGTCTTCAGTGATCAACTTCCACACTTCATTTTTTTATTATTATTTTTTTATTTTTTTAATACTCCAGGGGGCGTCTGAGGCGTAAGGGAGAGTGAGTCGGCGACCAGCTGGGCTGGACCGCTTCCTCAACTTTCACACTTCATTACACAATACAACCATCATTCGCAGTGACAACACTGCTGCCCTTGCAGTGACTAGTCAATCCATTTATTTCCTCAGTTACTTACTGCCACTGCCGCTCCCAACCTCCAACAAGAGCCACTATCCCCTTCCCAACTCAGCCCCCTTCCGCTGGTATTGTCATTGCATGTTCCCCTCCCCAATTTGTAGCCCCAATTCCCTTGCACTCCCTATGCGAACAAACTGCAACCCCAAAATCTAGCCTCTGTCATCATTGCCAACTCATAGCCGCCGCTAATAGACAGATCTTATGGAGGCCGTTGTTGATTAATAGCGAAAATTGACCACAACATCAAGAATCGAAGAGGATGAATAATGCCGGCGAGATGCCCCTGATCATCAACACTGATGATTTGAGGGAAAGAAAGGAGGAGGAGAAGGTGTGAAAATCAGACGACGACAAGCGGCTCAGGCTAGACGTGGAGACGACGGCGAGTGGCTCACATGTGTCACTGGTTGAATTGTTCAAGTCGTCTCTCATCAACTAGATGAATTAGGCGGCGATGAAATTATGAGTACTAGGGTTTCATAGCAACCAATTAACGAATGAAATTGCAAATATAAGGAATTAAATGCTTCAATCTAATAATTAAAGTCACTTTTATGGAAATTTTAAAACAAGTCATATTTTTGGAACACACCTCTGCCTTTGACCATCCCCTAGCACTACACACCAGCTCCCCAGCCCCACTCCCAGTCCCCAACCCCCTACCCTGCTTCCCTGCCCCCCAGGCTTCTCCCCGACAAGTTCGCCCAAAGGCTTAGCCATATCACCACCATGGAACCTTCGCCGCACCCCCACCAGCAATGGCGGTCCCAAATCAGAGTCATCGTCCACCGAGATGGCAAAATCCGGCAACGGCGGCCCCAAATTGTCTATCCAAGTGACGGATCTAGCACCGGCATCCATCTAGGACGACGGAGAAACTAGCAGAGGCGTGGTCATCGACCATCAACCAGTGGAGGCGCGACCACCGGCCATCAGCCAACGAAGGCGCATGTTTTAGCCATTTTTATAAATTGAAACAATCAAAGAAATAAAGGAATTAAATTGGGTTGTGTACAAGAAATACAATTTGAATGTGGGAAATAAAAATGGAAACAATAAAAGTAGAGCTAGAAGCTTCGTTGTTTCTATGCTAAAGTACAAGACTAAGTGATCTCA